CTTCATGGTTTGTGAAGAGAAGTTGGCTGTTATTCTGATGGGTTTTCCTTTAAATGTGTTTTGTTTCTTTTCTCTAGAGGCTTTCAGTATATTATTCTTGTGCTGGATTTCTGGGATCTTGACTATTTTATATCTTGGTGTGTTTTGATTGGGTTGAAGTTATTTGGAGCTCTGTATGCTTCAGTTACTGAATCTCAGATCGTTTCCTCATATTTTGGAGGTTTTTGGCTATTACTTCTGCCCATATTCTTTTTATATTATTTGTATTGACTCCTTCTTTCTCATTAATGCCTACTAGTCTCACGTTGTTCATCTTTGCATCATCTTGCAGGTGATGAATTATTTCTTCTTGCTTTCTAGTTGTTTTTAAGGGATCCTTTCTTACCTTTTCAGTAGCTGCCATGGTGTCTTCAAGATCCGAAACTCTATCTTCACTTTCACTCAAACGGTTTGGGAAGCTTGTGATTGGAATTTTAAGTTCCTCTATATCTCTTTGACTCTGCTTCATGCGGTCTATTTCTTTCCTGTATTGCTCATTTAGGGAATCTGTCACTTTTCTAATCTCTTCTAGATTTTATCACTCTCTTCTTGAGAAGCAGTTATTAGTTCTTTTACTACAGAGATTATTTCCAATCAGATTTCCTCTATGTTTTTGCATTTGATTCTTTACTTCATATGCTATTAATTCAGAGATGTCTGTTTTTATTTCAGAAGTTATTTCTGAACTGAGTTCCTCTATACCTTTCTGCATTTGTTTCTTTACTTTAGATGCTATTGATTAAGACATTTCAGCTGTGTGATTCCCAATTTCTTCTCTGCTAGCGTCCTCTGCATTTGTTCTGGGTGGGTTTGGGGCCTGAGATTCAGCTTGCTCTTTCTCTTTGTTTTTTTTGTATAGCACTGTCTTCTGACCTTTGGTGTAGAGTTTTGGTGCACTTATAACCTTAGCACCTACTGAAATTTGGGTGCAGATCTACTAAGCTTGAGTTCATCCAGTTGTGACTGGCTTGGGTGTGGCTGCTGTGCTCAGCTCCTTCCTGCTGCAGCCCTTGGAAGTGAATCTGTGCCCCTCTGACAAGATGTTTTGCTTCTGGATTAGTTGGGTGGTTTTGGACCCTACTCTCTCTGCAGGGACTTCAGCTGCAGAGTTTCACCGCAGGTCTATATGCCAGGTCTTGGCTTCCTCTGGAGTGTTCTAGGGGGCACAGGGGTGCTCGGAAGCTTTCCCACACACTTGGCAGGGCCTGGACTTGGGCTGGGTCTGGAGGGGTCCTGATAGTGCAGTGGAAGTTCTCACTCATGTGGCAGGCTTGTCTGGCTCTGGAGGGTTGGGGGTTCCTGAGAGCCCGGCGGAAGGTCTCACTCAGGAAGCAGGCCTTGGCTTGGTCCAGAGAGTTCCAGCGGGTGCAGGGGAGCATGGACGCTCTCTTACACACTTGCCGAGCCTGGGTTTCTTTCTTTCTTTCTTTCTTTCTTTCTTTCTTTCTTTCTTTCTTTCTTTCTTTCTTTTCACTCTTTTGAATGCCAAATAATTTTTGGCTACATTTTGGTAGCAATTCTTCTAGGATCCATGCATGGCATCCGAGGTCCTAAATTACAAGACTATCTTAATCTAAATGAACCTATGGAGAGCTCTGCATCTTCAAGTATGATATTTCTGCAGCATAAAGATTCCTTTCATTAGATCCACATCTACATGGTCAGATCAAGCTATCTGGTGAGGATAAAGAATAGGTCATAGACAGAGTGATTAGGGCCATGATTTCATTTACTAAGGGGACAAATTCTCTTAGACCCTTCTTAGTCCATTTTCCTCTATGTTCCAGCTGGTCTCAGGTTAAGTTTCAAACAGGCCACACTGCATGGACCTGGGACTGGGGACAAAGCATGATTTTCTCAAGGTCATATACCACTGGACATTTGTCTTCAAATATGCAGCGTTTCTTGATGAAAAATCCAGTTCCATTGACTCCTTCATAAGCCATGAAGTAGGCTCTATAATCTAAATTTTTCCATTGAGGGGGGAAAGAATTAAAGAAATTTCACTTAAAAATGGGAGACAAAATATGAGAAAGTTCTTGTAATAAATTCAATATTTAATAAGTATCTACTATAAAATCCTGCATTATACACACATGTAACTTCTGCCCAGAGAAAAAACAATACCTGTGCTAATGAGATCCAAATTGTGCATTGGGTGACGAGTATGTTTATGTTTACCACGGATCTTGTTTATGGACTGATGTGAACAGTTTGGGGGAAATGTTTCCATTTTATGAAAATATTTTGTATATTATTTCACTTAAATATGATTAACCCAGCAAAGTTTATATTTAACAAAGCAAGCTATTCTACCTGTAAATCCAGTTTTAAATTGTTAGTAATGATTATCCTTCACAGTTCTTGAAATAGTAATAAATGCTGAGTGGCTACAGGCTTGGCTTTGAGTTCATTTATTTAATCCACATATCATAGACATCTGCAATAGTCTTTTTTTCCCTACTGCTAGTGTCATGAAAAAGGAAACAGAGATAATAAAATATTCAAAGAATTTATAATCCAATTCAGAGATCAGGCATAAAATTAACTTTACTATGAGAATGAAATAAACACTATAATAAGTATATGAGTTTATTGCAATGAGACTTGAAAAGTGAAGATAATTAGGGCATATTATTAAAGAACTTTTGACCTCAATAAAATTGTTTTCCCTCGATTTTTAAGGCAATGACAGTGTCAGGTCATAGCAGGTTCTTTTTGGTAGTACTGAAGATAAAAGAATGTTTCCTTACCAAATGAAATACTAGATTTTTCTTTCCTATGAGAAAAGTTTAAATTCTTCTTAGAGTTTTTCTCCTCAGAACATATGCACAGGGTGATAATCAGTAGGAAGTGGGCAGATTAGGTCCCTGTTTAGATTTCTATGTGCAATGCACTCTGGACCACACCCTGGGCACATATAAATGTGTGTCTTAGAGTCTATGGAGAAGTCCAGAGACCAGTTGACGCCAAGCTAATAATCAGTGAGCCTTTACTCCATCACAGGAATTTATCACAAATTCAGCTCAGGTGAAATATATAAAAAGCAAAATTAACACTGTTCTCTCTTCAGTGCTAACAGGATGTATTGTTGCATTCTTCAGAACTGGAAAAAAGAAGTTAGGTGGAGCACGTTTCTCATAAACCAGTTCTGTAAGAGTCACTGGGATGCTGTTTAGCAAAGGTACCAGGAAATGTCTTTGATTTTGACTGAGTGAGGAAGCGATCCCAGATTCAGTATCAGGCCCCAACTTCAACACATGCCTTCATTCTGGTGCTGCTCCTGATCTGCAGCAGGCTGCCTCACCCTGGGTAAGGAGCACTGATCCTGCCAATCAGACAGCTTGCTGTGCTGCAGCCTCCTGCTAGAACTTGGCTCTTGCATAGTATGTGAAGTGGAGGGGCTGGGAGCAATGAACTCTGGACCTTAGTTGGAAGCCAGTTTTTTTTAAAAGCTTCTTTCATAGTCAATTCCATAATGTAAAGTAAAATCATGGATAAGAACACGATGCACCTATTGTTTTTTTCCGTTTTAAAAATATTTTAAAGAGAAAAAAAAACAAACACAAAGCAACATAAAACAATAAAAATTGTACAAAATTTCCACTTTTCCATTTCCAAGAATAGGAAATTAACAATGGTTATTATATTGCATATTGCAATGATCAAATTGTTTGCTATCCTACCAGATACAGATAGGCGTGCAAGACTGATTAAACAGTTAGAACATTTCTGGGGCCGGGGAGATGGCTCAGTGGAATAAGTGCTTCCCTAGCAAGTGCAAGGGTCTGAGTTCAATCCCTGGTTCCG